CCAGACAGACCTTGGAGGGTTTCGTTACCCATGGCGCCATCGCCACCATCGTCGCCTACATCATCAACAACATCATCCGAAACCTTCGCTTTGGGAGGGCATTACCCCTCAGGGGCGTCGTCAAGGCGCTGGGAATCACGCCTAACACGGCCGCAATCCCTATACGCCCCGTTCCTGACAGCAACCGCAACAACAGCCCAGCTTCAACGCCAAGCAGAGTGCGAGCAACCTGCGATATGCAGCCGTGGGAGACATCCTCTAGCCGTTGGAATAAAGGGCTTTAGGGGTTATTCAACATCAGCTACGAGCTCCTACAAATAGCCGCTGCCACATACCGGGTCGATCAGGAATAAGACCTCCGCCTGGGATATCCTCGATCGGAGTCACATCACCGCATGCTTAGACTCCTCTAGGCATGGTATTATAGATACGCGCAAGCATATAGGTTTCCAAAGTATAATCTATTAAGAGGAGCTACGTAGTGAGACTCTAGATGAGCTTAAGGTTACGTAATGGACCTGGAGTAACGACAGGAAGGGGAGGGGAGAGACGGAGAAATGGGATAAGTGGGCAGTATGTGGAGGATTGGATGAAGGAAGAAATCATGTCATGCAACATAGGTATAACCTAACTATACTAGGTGAGATTTAATAAACTACTAGCGGCAACTAAATAGAAAAGGCCACCTCTCTAGGCATAACTAAAAGGAATTATACTCCTCCCCACAGTTCATGCGTCGATATAATGCTGGGAACTACTCTAATCGAGCTTAACATGAGGGCCTTGTCTAGGTAGCTAATTCTTCAACTTAAAGCTTATCTAGGTTTATGGACCTGTATGAAATCAACGCTCAGAGTTACTTGAATCCCCTCATGTGACAGGGGTAGGCGCTACCTCTACACCAGCATTTCGAGGTCTCTAGGTTCGAATCACAGCGTGGGACCCTGTTCTCCTATTGTGTTTTATTTTTTTCATTTTTTCTTTACTTTTGTTTCTTTCTGTTTCTTTCTTATAATTCTTTTGATTTAACAGCTACTCACCCTGAACTGGCAGGGACGTGCTTGGCAGCCACTCACTCTGAACTGGCAGTGACGTGCTTGGCAGCCACTCACTCTGAACTGGCAGTGACGTGCTTGGTAGCCACTCACTCTGAACTGGCAGGGACGTGCTTGGCAGCCACTCACTCTGAACTGGCAGTGACCTGCTTGGCAGCCACTCACTCTGAACTGGCAGGGACGTGCTTGGCAGCCACTCACCCTGAACTGGCAGGGACGTGCTTGGCAGCCACTCACTCTGAACTGGCAGTGACGTGCTTGGCAGCCACTCACTCTGAACTGGCAGTGACGTGCTTGGTAGCCATAGCCTTAGTTAGCTTCCTACGACTGAGATGAATAACATTTGTGTTAAATCTAGTATTAACAGGAGTTATTATATGGTTTGTAGCCGAATATACAATCAAACTAGAAGGATAGTCTACCTTAACATGTATTGTTACTAAGAAAGATAGATTACGTGAATTTTATTTTTCCTTTTCTTCTTTTTCTTTCTTTCTCTCTCTTGGTTTTTTCCCTCTCCGTTTCTCTTTTGCGTACGACGGTAATCTAGACTCAGTGTACTCAGTATCCTTGCAGCGAATTAATGCTTTAACAAGCAGTAAACATTACACTAGTAATCCGTAGCGAGACGAGGAGGCTGCTATAGCGGGCGAGCAGACAGCAGGAGAAGCATTGTTTAAGACCGCCCTAGTGACTTTGCAGCTGGAGTTGTTACCCGGGCGAGGTGTCTACCTTTAGGGAGTACCAGGGGATAGAGTTTAGGGCGTGTTTAGGGAGCAGTAGTTGTAGTTTGCTCTAATGAGGCGCAATCTCTCTCTCCCTTTCTCCCTCTCGCGCTTCTACCGCACGTATAGCTCTCGCGCACCCCTAGACTTGAACCTTAATCAGTGGCGGCAGCGGCGGCGGCGGCAGGATCTGTCTGTTGTTATGGGCAGGTGGCCCCTCGGATCAAGCCATGAAGCCATAGCGGTGTCTATCCGGGAAACAAGCCTTAGGCTTATTACTCAATACGCCTCTCCTAAGTACCTAGCAGGAAACGGGCGCGCGTATTTGAGAATAGTGGCTCTTTGGCGTCCTGCAAACCATCCATAAGGGTATCACGCTTATACTTTTAACATTGGCGTCCGCCTGATACTCACCCTCCTCCTTATAGCTTAACGCCTATATAAGCAGCCTGTATATAGTTATGTTAATAAATAGACACAGCAGCTTTTTCCCTCCTTTCTCCCTCCTTTTCTCCTTTCTCCCCCCTTTCCCCCTCCTTTCCCCCCTTCCTCCTAGCACTAAGACGCTACTATGCCTCTCTCGCCAGGTTCCCTCCCAACGAGCAGGGTCTCTCATACCTCGAAAACGGCTAGCCGAGAACCTACAGCTCCTACGGTCGACGTAAAGATGCCGACACCAGACCCCACACCGTCAATCAGCCCAGGTGCCGCCAACACAGCTAGCATATCACATGACACACCACAGAGCCCGAGGCAGCCGGCCAAACCGGCGTCCTCGGTCTCTGATCCTGTGGATTCCATCCTCCCATCATCCGAAGAGTCGCTTAACGCCGCGGACGTGTCTCAAGACGCCTGCTCCGGCTCGAGGGGGCGCGACAAGGAGGCCCCATTGTCCTTTGCGCGTGACCCCTACCTTCCCCATACAATGACGGCTGGTCCCCCAGGCCCCCCAAGCCCCTTAATTCATCCATACGTCCATCGTCCCACAGCACTACATGCGGCATGCTTCCAGGCGATGATGGTAACTATGCCCGTCCTCTTCTGCATGCCCTTTCCAGGTCCGCCGGTAATGCAAAGGCCTACTCTTTGCTCCAGGGGGGGCCAACACTCAGATGAGGCTTGGCTCAACAGTCGCGCGTCTGCACAGCCCCAGACGCCTTTCAACCTAACAGGCCCCACATCACCAGTACCCAGCCACAGCCCCCCTATGCACCCCATTCAGCGCAGGCCTGGCCCAGCAACTCCTCCTTTAAAAGGACGCTACCCCCATCTCTGTCATCAGAGGCCTAGTGGTCATAGTAGACAGGCCGTGGCCCGCTTTCTCCCGTCGGAGCACCGCCTACAACCGCTCACATACGGACACCACGAGCTCAACAGTCAATACAGAGATTCCCTACTAGCTAGGAAACTGCCCCCTTGCCCTCGCTGCGGCGCAAGATTCTACAAGGAGGACGCCCTGAAGGTACGCCTACATTGCCATTCCTTCTCATCTAAGGCCTATGCTCACTTAGCCTCTTAGAAACACGGCTGTCCTAGCGACGACATGCCAGCATATAGCAATATCAGCCTTGATACCTCATAGACTAGATGGATAATAAATAGTATGTGCCTACTCAGCCTCTTATATTTATCGGCGTGGTATTACGTGTTTCTAACTACGGTTGGAGATATCGTCGTCTTTTACTGAGGCAACCCCAGCATTATAATCTACCTATAAACAGCATCCCTCTTCTACATGAAAACGTTCCAGCGGCCTTATTCAACCGTTAAAGACGTAATGTAGGGTTAGTACATTCTCTTACCTAAGTGGATTGTAAGAATCTCCTCTGTGTACCTAACGACACCAAGTGCCCCTCAAACTAGGTCTGAGAACCTCAACCTTTCCTCTTGTTAAGCTGCTTTCTGCGCTATATCGCTTGTATCAGGAACGTTCTCCTCTACTTACCTAGAACCGCATGAGACGTCCACATACATCTCGGTCTGTGTGGTGCCTTATAGACCCGCTAGGCTCTATACATAACGAACCTAGCCCCTTGTCTATGCTTAACTGACATAGCTGCTATGTGATGTATGCACCGTCAGGCTATATTGCCCCTTGCTATCCCGTAGCTCCACGTCTCCGCCGTATGCCGTTATTCGTAGTTGATTCCAAGTGACTCGCATCGTCCGGCTGTAAGCCTTACGCCCCGTCCCAAACCCACCTTAGGGCCTCGATCGCATATGTCTTCGTATAGAGCCCTTCTAATACTCCACACTACTACAGCTATCCTTACCCTTGCGATATGTATTACTACGTTGAAGACTAGTGGTGTAAGTAAAAATGGAGCATAACACCAGAAATCCTAGGCAGGGGAGGGTATACTGCTATGTGTAGCATCTTGACTATGACCGCCGTTATCAAAAGTTCTTCAAACCGACCATTGCATCGAGGTTAGGTAGTTAGGGTTATGGTTAGGCAGTTAGGGTCATGGTTACGTTCGGGTTATGGGATATGAACACTCCGCTACCTACTACTCACAGGAATCCAACGCTACATACTTCACTAGAAATTTATCACTAATTAATAGTAGCTACTAGACCTACACGATGTACTAGGTATGGATGTACATGTTATAGACAGTGTACCATCACCTACCTCTTCTGTCGTCCTTATCCATTCCTACGTATCCTAAAAAGTCCCCTAGGTTTCTTCAATACATCATCAGGGCCTAGTCAGAACCTTACATGCATGTCATCTACACCAGTAGGAATCCACATCGCTGAAGGCATTTATAAGCACCCTTATGGTCACTGGACGTCCCCTACTACAGCTTCGGCGGGGCAGGGCTACTCGCCTATAATTACCTCTAATCCCCACACCTTATCCTATCACTCTTCATCTTCCTCTTTCCCTTTCTCCCCATAGGTATACACAAGTGTTGCACATCTGTACCTGACCATCTCGTTATACGCGCGCTAGACTTCGAAGCCCACCACAGACCAACGTCTACATACTTACCTTACAACAAATACACTATATCATCTATAGCAACTTCTCAAGATGTCACAAACGACAAGTTTAACGAGCGGTAAGCGAGCTAGTGACAAGCTTCTTATAGAGGCACGAGAGGCGCGTTATAAGAAAGCTAGGCGCACACAAGAGGCGGGTACCATCTGCAGTTTCAGCGAGAGAACCTCTCCCCGGGAACTCGCGCGTCCTTTCCTGCTTGCTGTAGCAAAGATGTCTACTGACGTGTTGGATACGAACTGGAGCCTTGGCACGAACCGGCCCCTCGACCGAGGCCACGTTGAAGATTTGCGACAGGTATTCAGGCGGGGTGCCCTTGAGCGGCGAGCGCCTGAGAATCGTATTGCCGTCCTCTGCACCGCTGAGGAAGTACGCCGCATGCGCATCGACGCGGTGGATGCCAACGGCCATGACGCAGTAGACAGCAGCGGAGAAGAATCATTCCTCAGATAGGCCGACATCAACCATAGAAAGGTTGAGTTAGTAGCTGGTCAGCATCGCGTGCAGGCCCTCCGGGAGTATGCTGCCGAGACACGGGCGCCTACGTCGGAGATTTGGTGGATGTGTGAGCTCTATGATAAAGGTGCGTGTCGCGAAAAGCCCTCTCAGCTCCCTCATCCTCCCGCAGCCTTGCTCAAGAGCGGGCGTATTTTATACGTCATAGTACCCTAGTTAGTTAAGGTAGCTAACAACAACCCGCCCACACAAGAACGCCTGCCGCATAGCGTCAACGTTGCGCTGAGAGCAAATCGAAGAGACCCAAGTCTACCAGACAACCACGGGCAGGTCTGGACCCAGCTTGCATCCGTCGCCCATGGCATTGAGGGAATCACTGGGGACGACCCCAAAAGCATGGATCACATGCTTGCGGGGGTCCTCCGACTCCATCGCGAGAAGCAATTCCCAACTCAAAGGCTTACTGCGTTGTGGAACCACCAGGGTTGGCGGTCTATCATAAACCGTTGGTGCTACGCAAGGGTCGGTCTCGAGACGTTTAACATTTCTCACTTTGAGTGGATCGCCACCCTTGGTATTGTTGAGTACTGGCTTGGCGCGCTTGACGAGGTGCTCGGCACCCTTGCTATACTTCCCGTCGACGAGAGGGTTCATATCACTGCACTCGACTGGAAGCGTTTATCAGCAAGCCTACGCCCCAACTGTTGGTCGACAAACGACGTTAAACGTCTTTTCTATACCCCAAGTAGAGAAGCCCCACGCGACAGGCGTGCTGAGCGACTTCTAACAACACTCAGCGACGAGGCGTACAGCTCCCTCTGCGACCACATCTCCCACTCGCCAAAGCTCCGTATCCCAGACTTGAGTCGCATTCTTCAATGCAGCAAGGTGGACATACGCACTGCCATCTGCCTGCTGTATCATGTCGTTGCCTGGATCGACCAAGATAGCGCTATAGCTATTAGCGAGGCCTGCGCTGATAGCAAGAACAAGCCTCTCATCCGAAAGTATTTATCACAAGCGCTGGATAAGCTCAAGATTGCCCAGGGCCGTGAGCTGTACCCGGCGATCGCCGCCGTCCGGCTACAGACACTCGTACTAGACTTCGCCCGGTATAATCTCGCAGAGTTCAACGCACCTGGCGCTGTGCCACCCGTTGAGCAAGACGTAGTGCGTGTCAATGATGCCACGTATAATAGGCGATTTCAATACGCGGCATGGGCTGGTCTTCTGCGTCTCGTGCGACGTATAACAGATGCTGATGGTGGACTGCTCCGCCCGCAATGGCAGGCTCCCGATATAGCGCAGTATACACAGCGTCAGCTGAGGGCCTCTACCGTCGTCTTCAACTTCTGCACCAGCCTTTCTAAGCTCGCCAGTGGACACGACCCAGCCGCCATAACCAAGCTTCGGTGGAACATACAGCGGGTAACGGCGCACTATCTTGGAGACACTGCAGAGATGAGCCCCTTCTACTTTCCTCTCATGGACAGTGCCCCAGACTATGATGAGGATGAGGGGGAGGATGATATCCTTTGTGAAGAGGATGTTATCTACCTGCGTACTTGTAATGAAGGGTTGTAGAGTTATAGTGATGCGTGTAATGCTAGAAACGTAGTAATTTCCGTTATAAGCGGGTGGATATATAATATAATATAATTCCTAGAACTAGTTCTCTGCCTATTGCCCCCCCCCCCCCCCCCCCCCCCCCCCTTTGGGTAGGTACGTACACTACGATCCTCCTACTGCCCCGGACGAAGCAAAGGCCAAAGTCACCTCATTGTATTTTATCGACTGTGGACCCTCTTATAGGTTGAGCTATAAAAACTTCCCCAACACTTATCTCTCTGCTTAGCCGTTCAGCTGCATAAAATCGACCATTGAATTTCTGAATTTGTCGAGAAATAGTGTCGATCAATAGGAACAACATCTATTTAGCTGTACCCCGCACATCTAAGTACTAGCGTCATCTAGCACTTGATGGGATAGGTACATATATAGGTACATATATCGATAGACATGCGTATTCCTCGTCTTAGAGGAGGAATCACGATCAGATAGATGTCTTATTACGTCAGCATTATCGCTCTCCAGAGCGGGAATCGCTAGAAGCTAGTTACCGTAGTGCTACTGTTATACATCGGTAGCGGGAATCCTAACGTTAGCAGCCGAATGTAACGCCGCTGATTGGCCGCATCAGCCGCCCCACCACGGCCCCGCTACCTTCCCGCTGGCCTCAGGGCAATTGATACTGTAGATTAGTACGACTTTCCCCGTAATCAATTGAGCACATAGCTCCGTAGTCAAGTGCCTTCTATTTGACACTTATAATCTAGAGGATCAGGGTTCGAACTCCAAAAAGTGATGCCGTTATGTGGTGAATTTTGGCGATAACTTCAAGAAAATCCAGCGCCTGTTGCCCAACCATGAATATGGGGCCGAGCTTTTGCCCTGCCAATAAGAACTTGCTTACGTCACTATCGTTGCGCGGATGCTAACGTTAGCCCAGGAACAACCGTCGCGCAACCCTGTCTTCCTAGGTAACGTTAGCCCTCCACGACGGTTGTGCTACGGTACCTTAACTACGGTACTGCTATTGCTAGTATGCCCTGGCTTACTAAGCTCCCTCCCGCTGCATCAGCCACCCCAACTACCATAGTGCTATATTATAGGGACCTGTTATTCATGTGCTTCTTGGTTAGCTGGTGGGGAGATAGGAATATTGAAATTTATAGAGGAGGGCTAAGCTCCTATATAAAGAGAATGGCCAGAGGTAGCGGCGGTAAACGAAGAGGTATTCTCTTCTGCCCTACCTAACGCCCCTCCTTCCCCCCACTAGCAAGCACCCTTTGGTTGTCTCAACCTTAGGGTCCCTCAAGAAAACTCTCCTCTACCTCGGCCACTACCCGTAACATAGTTTCCATGTAATCCTCCTTAGCCCCTTGTGACATATCAGACACATATTCATCTTCCCTTTCAGGGACGTTCTCCACCCTAGCTATTTCCTTCCTCCCTTCTAACTGTTCTTTCGTAGTTTGCCGCTCGGAGGCGTACCTTTGTGACTGCTCTATAACTCTGACGGGGCAATATGTAGAAACAGAGTGACCTGTATAGCTTGACTTGACCCCAGCTGTTTGTAGAGTTACGTCCGGCGCATGTTGATCCACGGCGTCGTCAGTGTTGATCTGCGGCTCCGTGTCACTCTCGCTATCGTCTTCGGTTTCCGAGTACTCGTCTTCGCCAGGAGGTAACATTCCCAGCAGGCCCCCCGATTTGCGGCCGAAAAGCTCAGCTGCCTCAGCCCCCCAAACCTCTGGCTTCTTCACCTCGCTGATATCAGCAAACACAGTTGTGAGTGCCGGCCTATCCTTGAACAATGCCAGTTAGCCGATGATGTATTGGCTTCCGATCTCTCTTCGCACTTACAGCTCCATCGGTTCCACTAGCCCCATCACACCACTCTCTCAGGTTAGTGGTGATTAAGTCGTCAGAGCTGATGCTACCAATGGTCGGATCGTCGGACATCGCCTCCGTTGTTTCCGCTGAGGGGTAAAACTTAATACACCCGATCATATGCGGTCCAAATCGCTCTGTAATATCCCCTCTTTTAACGAACCTCATGATGTGATGTAGCGTCATGCCGGCAACGATCGCAACAATCTTATCAGCACCACCATTATCCACTCTTTCAAATTCGTGCTCTGATACCTGTAGCAGTCCAAATAGTTTCGCTGGAGTAGGGTCGAAGTCGTCGACCACAGGATCGTTGCCCATAGCAAAGACCAGCGACCCGGTCATGTTCGAACTTTGGCCTGAGTTTTCGAAAGGCTCGTTGTGGGAGGTTTCAGAAGTAATGCGTACTGTTTGAGGCAAACCCTTGGTGTATTGAAGTTACCTAGGTACTGCCGCCTGAGTCAAGCGAGCCACACCTCATGTCGATGTGAGATCGCGGACGGCAGCTCAATGTAAGATATCTGAAATCTCGTATGCAGGAAGCTTAGATGTTCTAGCAGGGTCAAGCCACGGCAATACCTCCAATTAATCTTTTTCTTTTTCTTTTTCCTTTTTAGGGTTATTTTTCTCATTATCCCTCTTTCGCGTTATCCCGCGCCCTAAGCCCCCCTCAACGGTAGACCTAAGACGCGTAGATAGAGCCTGTGGCGTGCTTAAACATCATGCGAGCATGCGTAAGTACTGACATATAAGTATATATGGCTTTATAGGTCGTCATATCAAGCCCTGGGAATGCATTCAGTGTCCACACGTCCCTCCTATAGCTACGCACCTTGTTGTCCTGGAACGAAGCCGTGCTGTGGCGCTACTACGAGAATAATTATATCCCTTATTAATAGTTATCTACGTACTGCTTACCTAACTATCTACTAGTATACTATTTATCTATATCTTATAACACTCTTCAAAGCTTAGTGTAGTAGAAGCGTGTTGTCCTCAGAGGATACTCGGTGGCTATAAGTCTATCTAGTACTAGAAGGTAAGCTGTGTTATGTAGGCTTCTATAACCAATCCTAAGCAGTACTGCATCGTGTATTCGCGCGGGCGGCGTCGAGGGCGTTAAGGCGAAGTTTAGCCATTTGCTACTTGAGTTTCCAGAGCCTTTGCCTTCAAACCCTTAGCAAGGGGCTTCGCACGGCTCGTAATAAGACATAATCAGTCGGTGCTAAGGTACCTTGGCCAGAAGAACACAAAGCCCTGTGACCAACAGTCTTAGGTCCTATAGGCATATCAACAAGTCTCTGATTTCTTACACTGCCTTCTAAGCAAACAACACCATGTTTGGTGTGGGGAAAAGGGGTTAGATTAACACAAAAACATTGCTTATAAAAGCTGGCCCGTGGAGGATTCTACCAGCAATCCGGTTACCAAGCCAAACCTACCTAGGCTATAACCTAGAGCCTGACTTCAGATAGAACCGAAATAAGTCTGAAATAAGTTAGTGATTCACGCTGGCTGTGAAGAGACGTGGATGTGAGGACAGGTGGGGGCTACAAAGCAATCTCCGCCCCTTATTATACGTAATGCCCTTATTATACGCATTTGATCCTACTAGTTGAGTTACTCGGTGATGTTGTTACATACTTACCTATACAGAGAAGCAATACGGTCTACCACAATGTCGTACATATGACCTTACTTTAAGCAAGTAAAGGGTGGCCAGCGTTAGGTGACCAAGTACACTCGTCGCTCTAGCAATTCTCACCCCTGTTAGGCCTCTAGTTAAACTGCTTTTATTACTAGATGAATGAATGTTCGAGTATAGGATGAACAGGACCGAGCATGTTGCGGAAGTTTCGAGCCCACCCAGTATGGGGCTTTCAACGTAGGGGGACAAGCAGTAAAAGCACCTCGGTTGGTGCCCAGTCCAGTAGCAGGTTCGCAGTATACAAACCCAAGGGTCCGGAATAACTGCCCGCGCCGACCCCAACTCGCCATACCATTGTGGCTGTCAGCCACGTTGACGATAGCTTTGTTGCCAGCAAGGTCGACTGCCTCGCCCGCGTGACTCACGAGCGAGACACGTACCAGAGATGACTTCACAAGGTCTTCAGCCATGGAAAAGCTTGTCTTGGCCACGCACTTAAGACGCCGCTCGCGCGGAGCCTCGAGCCCATTCCTCCCCAACCAAATCACCTAGGTTCCTTCACGATGTGTTCCATCCTGCCCGATCCATGGGGTCTCATGCGGGAGGGCTTTACCCGACGCACGCCCCAAGACACCAAGATCGATACCAAACCGCAGGGCCAGGCTTGCGGCGATCAGCAAGACGACTCCCTTCAATGTGCAGAGCCCTAGGGACCAGATAGCTACAGCCAGGTCCTGCCTCGAGGCCCTAGAGGCCAACCTCAGTGGCCACAGCGCGGAGGCTGCCTGCCTGCCTGCCTTGCCGAACCCTATCGCTAGACGACGTGGACGCGTTTGCTGCTGATCCTGGCATTTGCGCCTACTTTGACGACGTCGAACAGGACCGAGCATAGAAAAAGTATGAGCGGGAAATAATAGACTGGAGTCCACGGCAGAATAGTGGTGGATTATGAGACCGACATCTGGGGATCAGCCCGGCGGGCTGCACAGGCAGCCAAGCTGATGAGTCTACCCTAGGAGTGGTAGCACCTGCCTCGTTATTAATAAAAACAGGCACTGGGATAGGGCCTGACCCGACTCCCGGGGCATCCCCGCTACCCGGTCCAACCTTACTGACCTTGCCCCGTGAGAACAAACGCCCGAGGCGGTGAACATAGCGAAAACTACGTGCATAGGCCTTACCTTACCTAATACCAGCTGCAAAGAAGAAAAATGAGAAGGGAAGAAAGATTACCTAATCCTACAAACCAGCATCTCCTCTTACCGCGCAGGCAAAGTCAAGGGTCATCTCATCCACCACAACGCACAAGAATCCACCTACAACCCGCGTCTTTCACACGACAGCCCCTGCACCTAGTTCGTCCCTTCTCGCAGCATCTCTAGGGACAGCTATATCATAAGTGAGTAGTTGCAGAAGAGGCCCAGCATACAGAACACGTGCGTTGGGGCCAGGCGAGGTAGGAGCAACTGCAGGCCTACCTTCC